AGCTTCATGACAGAGAGGGGGATTTGAACTCGGGCCTCGTTTCGTGGTGAAGGGGTGTCTGTGGATTTGTGCGGGGAGGGTTAAGGGAGACAGTGGAGATGTGACGAGTCTCTTGGAGCTTGTTTGTTTTAATCACATGCACACACAGCCCGTAGCCAGGATTTTGTGGCTTGTGGGGCAAACATTTTTCTGGTGGGGCTGCCGTTATTTTTTTTATGTCAGCTCCAATTCGCCCCCAAGCCCAACCACTGGCGGCCACCCCTCTCCCTCCCCCCCTGCAAGATTTAAAGGGCCTTTCAGCTGATCGGAGGGGAGCAGGGGGGCCCTTTAAATCGTGCAGGAGGGAGGGAAGGGGGCGCAATCCACTTTGGCGTCGTGGTTAAGTGCGTGGACTCTAATCTGGGAGAACCGGGTTTGATTCCCCCCTCCTCCACTTGCAGCTGCTGGATGACCTGGGGCAAGCCATAGTTCTGGCACAGCTGTCCTTGAAAAAGAGCAGTTTCTGTCAGAGCTCTCTCAGCCCCACCTACCTCCCAGGGTGTCTGTGGTGGGGAGGGGAAGGGAAAGGGGTTTGTAAACTGCTCTGAGACTCCTTTGGGTAGTGAAGGGCGGGGTATAAATCCAATCTCTTCTTCTTCTTCTGGATGACCTTGGGCAAGCCATAGTTCTGGCACAGCTGTCCTTGAAAAAGAGCAGTTTCTGTCAGAGCTCTCTCAGCCCCACCTACCTCCCAGGGTGTCTGTGGTGGGGAGGGGAAGGGAAAGGGGTTTGTAAACTGCTCTGAGACTCCTTTGGGTAGTGAAGGGCGGGGTATAAATGCAACCTCCTCCTCCTCTTCTTCTTCCCAGCCTCCATCACCGCTCCTTTTTCATTTCGCTTTATATTCTTTACTTCACTTGTACTCTGCCTTTCTCCCCGCAAGGCGGCTTATGCTGTTCCCCTTTCCATTTTATCCTCACAGCAACAACCCTGTGAGGTTGGTTAGGCTGCGCGTGGGTAGCAGGCCCAAGGGTGGGGATTTGAACCTGGGTCTCGTGGGGTACCAGGTCCCCCCGGCTACTGGTGGGAGGTGTGTGTGTGTGTGGGGGGGTAGGGTTTTCATCTCCAGGTTGGGGAACTTCTGGAGATTTGGGGGTGGAGCCTGGGGAGGACAGAGACCTCACTGGGGTACAAGGCCACAGAGTCCATCCTCTAAAGCATCCCTTTTCTCCAGGGGAACTGATCTCTGTAGTCTGGAGATGAGCTGTAATTCTGTGGGAATCCCCAGGTCCTACCTGGAGGTTGGCATCCTTATAGGGCGGGGGGGACTGATGGCCACAGGAATAAACAGCTTTAAAAGGAGGGTTAGATGGATTCATGGAGGATGGCTACTAGCCATGGTGGCTGAGGGGAACCTCCGCATTCAGAGGCAGTTGACCTCTGAATTCCAGAGCCAGGAGGCAACATTAGGGGAAGGCCTCTATGCCACTGTTATTGGCCCTCCGGAGGAACTGGTTGGCCACTCTGTTGAGACAGGATGCTGGACTAGATGGACCCTCACTGGTCTGATCCAGCAGGGCTCTTCTTACATTTTTATGAAGGCCTCGGCCTCTATGCCCTGTTGTTGGCTCTCCAGAGGAACTGGTTGGCCACTGTGTGAGACAGGAGGCTGGACTAGAGGGACCACTGGTCTGATCCAGCAGGGCTCTTCTGATGTTCTTATGAAGGCCTCGGCCTCTATGCCCCGTTGTTGGCCGTCCAGAGGAACTGGCTGACCACTGTGTAAGACAGGATGCTGGTCTAGATGGACCACTGGTCTGATCCAGCAGGGCTCTTCTGATGTTCTTATGGTCGTGAATCCCCAGTGTCATATGTGGCTTGGACTCTGCTCCCAGCACGAGGCTATTTGGCACCTGAAATCCGCCCCCCAGCCCCATTTTTATGTTGCGTGCCTTTCATTGGTAAAAGGGCTATAGCACCTCCTTTGCATGCATAAGGTCCTGGGTTTGATTCCTGGTTTCTCCAGTGTTTAGTAGTGTCTCGGGGCCGACCGCACTGGGCTCGGTCTACGCCGGGCCCAGCGTCCTCAGTTCCTCTCTCTCCCGCAGCATCGACAAAGTGTCCCGCATCACGTCCCCCGTCCTCTTCATCCACGGCACGGAAGACGAGGTGATCGACTTCTCGCACGGCCTGGCCCTCTACGAGCGCTGCCCCAAAGCCGTCGAGCCGCTGTGGGTGGAAGGGGCCGGGCACAACGATATCGAACTCTACAGCCAGTACCTGGAACGCCTCCGCAAGTTCATTTCCCAAGATCTGGCTGGCCAGCATAACTGAGACCCTCGTTGGCGCCCCTTCCCTCTGGTGTCCACCCCCGTGCTCTTCGGCGGGGAAGCAGGGGGACGTCTGCGACTCCGAAAAGCAGGACGTCGCCCGCGCCGCAAGTTCCACATGCCTCCCGTCAAAGCGGGACCGGCCCCTGGGCCCTTTGAGACGGGCTCGTTGTCTGTGCGGACCCCGGGTCTCCACCAGCGGTGTCTTGTCGTCAGACGACGGCCCCAGCGATTCTTCGCTCCACGACGCCATCTTTGACGACAACATCTCTCTCTGTGAAAACGCGCCGAGTGTGGGGGCCCTCCGTTCACCCCCCGTCCCTTGGCTTCAGACTGCAAGAGACTGGCTTCCTGCCGACATTTCTTTTGTTCTTCTTTATTTTTTTTTAAATTACCATGTCCGCTGGGACTGCACTGTGTTTTTGGCCCCCGCGACACCATCCCGTTCGAAACTCTCGATTCCCCCCTGCGCCAAGCGATAGCAATAAGCCATTGGGGGTGGGAGAGGAGAGGGGAGGGTCTGGGTGGCCCCGATGCTGCCTCCTGGGAACGCGATGCCTTGCATGACGGGCATCCTCGGGCATCCAGGACACACACACACCCCCCCCAAGCAGGGGAGGAAAACTAAGTCTAAGCTCCCTGGAGAGGGCGGGAACAGTGGTAGAGGAGCCGGATTAGAGACAAGTCGCCGTCTGGACCCTGCCGCAGCAACCGAGCCACTGATCCACAGAAGCCAGCACTGAACAGGGGTGGGTGGGGGCCGCGGGGGAACACCAGACACGGGGGAACGGATCCAGTTGCCACCTCCTGGATTCCCCCGTTTTAGCCCCTCCCACACACACACTCTGTCCAAAAGCTCCCCCCATGTTCGGGTCATGCTTCCCTTGATTCCAGGTATGCAGACGGAGGGGTATGAAGCCTCCGACCCATTCATTTTGGAAACTACATGGAATAAAACGTTTTAAAGGTCTGGACTGCTTTCCTAAGAAATGTTGCCTGGTGTGTCTCTGGCGGGGGGCGGGGGGGGCAGGACGTGTCTGTCTTCCTGTATGTTTTTACCCTATCTGTTCTCCAGGGAAAGGTCAGGATGACACACGGATCCAGTTTGGTGTAGGGGTTACGAGCGCGGATTCTAATCTGGGAGAACCGGGTTTGATTCCCCACTCCTCCGCATGCAGCTGCCGGTGTGACCTTGGGTCAGTCACAAGTTCTCTCAGAGCTGTTCTCTCAAGGGCAGTTCTCGCAAGAGCTCTCTCAGCCCCACCTACCTCACAGGGCGTCTGTTGTGGGGAGGGGAAGGGAAAGGCGATTGTAAGCTGCTCTGAGACTCCTTCGGGTAGTGAAGGGCGGGGTAAAAAGAAGAAGAAGAAGAAGAAGAGAGTGGATTTATCCCCCGCCCTTCACTACCGAAAGGTGTCTCAGAGCGGCTTACAAACTCGTTTCCCTTCCCCTCCCCACAACAGACACTTTGTGAGGTGGGTGGGGCTGAGAGAGCTCTTGACAGAAACTACTCTTTTTCAAGAACAGCTCCTTATCAGAGCTACGGCTTGCCCAAGGTCATCCAGCCAGGTGCAAGTGGAGGAGTGGGGAATCAAACCCGGTTCTCCCAGATTAGAGTCCGCGCACTTAACCACGACACCAAACTGGCTCCAATCAAATCCAATCTCCTCCTCCTCCCTCCTCCTCCTCCTCTTCTTCTTTTCCTTCTTCCCTTTTGCTCCCACAACAAACCTGCAAGGTAGGGTAAAAGAGGGTAACCGGCCAAAGGGTAGTGTTAGATGAGGGGGGATTTGAACTGGGGTCTCCCACATCGTAGTCGAACATTCTGACCACCAGTGTGCCCTCTAAGCTGAATTAGTGTGAGCTACCTCAAAGTCTTTTAGCCTCCAGCTCACACATTTTTGTCTTAGCTCAGGAAGGGTGGCTGCAGAGCAAACCAATTTATGCAGGAGCCAACTGGCTCGCTCGCAACTTTAATGCCAGGAGCTCACAAAGTAGAATTTTTGCTCACAAGACTACAGCTTGGAGGGAGCACTGCTGACCGCGACACCACATTAATGTTTACACTGAGCAGTGTCTTAAACATGAAAACGTGTGTCGGTGTTAGCTTCGTTTTGTGCGCTCGTGCATGCTTTCGTTCTAATACCATCCGGAATATCTGGGTTCTTTTTCTCCTGTCCGGAGGAGTACCCGGTGCTGCTTGTATGAAGAATACTGGAATCCAGTGATAAACTAAATGAAACAGCAAGGCGCATCACGATGCTAAAGGCAGCTGCTCACCCTCCGAGGCTGTACAGGAAAGAAAACCCACTGATTAAACAAAAAACCCAAAAAACTCGGAGAGGGAAATGGTTAGTGCGGGAACTGTATGCAGAGTGGGGGCCTAAAAATAGCCGCTGAAATAATTTCAAAACTGCGGCGTCAGGAGGGGAATGCCGTTCCTCTAAGAAAAATCTCCCATCGGTCCTCAACTTGCAGTGTTCCCTCTAAGCTGAGTTAGTGTGAGCCAGCTAACAGTTTTTGAGCCTCCAGCTCACACATTTTTGTCTCGGCTCAGGAAGGATGACTCCGGAGCAAACTAATTTATGCAGCAGCCAAATTGCTCGCTCACAGCTTTAATGCCAGTAGCTCACAAAGTAGAATTTCTGCTCACAAGACTCCACAGCTTAGAGGGAACATTGGCAGGGGCCCTCTGAAAAGGCGTGCGTGCAAATTGGGCTGGGGGGGCTGGCTGAAGAGGAGATGGCTTGGGCTTCCAGCGGCAGGGAGTGCCACGGAAGGGCGAGCCACCACCGAACAGGCCCTGCTAGAAGTGCCTTGTAGATCTCGCCTATGGCCAAGCCGTCTCTGCCGCTGGTTTTAATGGGGGTAGGATGTCTTTATGCCGTTCCTTCGTGGAAGATTTGGTCTGACCGGCATGGCCCAAGCCAGTCAGATCTCAGAAGCAAAGCAGAGACGGTCCTAGAATCATAGAGTTGCAAGGGACCTCCAGGGTCATCTAGTCCAACCCCCTGCACAATGCAGTAAATTCACAAATACCCCCCTCCCATGCCCCCAGTGACCCCTGTTCCATGCCCAGGAGATTACAAAAAAAACAACCCTCCAGGATCTCCAGCCAAACTGGCCTGGAGAAAAATTGCTTCCTGGCCCTGGTGGTCAATACTTGGGAGACCACCAAGGAAGTCCAGGGCTGGTATGCAGAGGCAGGCAATGGCAAACTACCTCTGAACCAGCATGCTGTACTGGTTAAGAGCGGTGGACTCTAATCTGGAGTACCAGGTTTGATCCCCCACTCCTCCACGTGAAGCCTGCTGGGTGACCTTGGGCCAGTCACCAACCTCTCAGAACACTTCTCAGCCCCGCCTACCTCACAAGGTGCCTGTTGTGGGAGAGGAAGGGAAGGCGATTGTCAGCCCTTTTGAGACACGTGAGGCCTGCCAGGTGACCTTGGGCCAGTCACCAGCCTCTCAGAACACTCTCAGCCCCACCAACCTCACAAGGTGCCTGTTGTAGGGAGAGGAAGGGAAAGGCAATTGTAAGTTGCTCTGACACTCCTCAGGGTAGAGAAAAGCGAGGAATAAAACCCAACCTTTCTTCTGAACCTCTTGCCTCGAAAACTCCTATAGCAGTGGTGGCGAACCTATGGCACGGGTGCCAGAGGTGGCACTCAGAGCCCTCTCTGTGGGCACGCGTGCCATCGACCCAACAAGGCCCAGACCATCATTAAAGTGTGGAATTCTCTGCCAAATAATTTTAAGTAAATGAAAGCATTTTGGATTGCTTTCCTTACTTTGTTTGGATCATCTTCAGTTAATGTAGGAGTTGTTTTTTCTAAAGTAAAACCTCCGCATTCAGGTTAAATTGCCGTGTTGGCACTTTGCGATAAATACGTGGGTTTTGGGTCGCAGTTTGGGCACTCGGTCTCTAAAAGGTTCGCCATCACTGCCCTATAGGGTCCCTGCATCTCTCCTGCCATTTGATTCCTACCACCAATTTAATGGCCTTGGGCCCTGACTTACTGGAGTCCAGGGTTGCGACACGGAGACAGGCAAACCACTACCGTCTGTCTCTGCCCTGCCTGCAGTGTCCCCTCTAAGCTGAGTTAGTGTGAGCTAGCTCGCAGTTGTTTAGCCTCCGACTCACACCTTTTTGTCTTCGCTCAGGAAGGAGGGCTCCGGAGCAAACTTAATTGATGCAGTAGCCAAATGGCTCGCTCACGGCTTTAACGCCAGTAGCTCACAAAGTAGAACTTTTGCTCACAAGACTCCACAGCTTAGAGGGAGCATTGCCTGCCTGGCCTCCGCTAGTTCAATCCCATCAGTTCTCAGAAGCGAAGCAGAGTCGGCCGTGGTCAGTATTTGAATGGGAGCCCACCCAGGACGTCCAGGGTTGCATCGCAGAAGCATGCAATAAAAGCCCTACAGGGATGCCCTAAGGCAGGGGTGTCAAACTCATTTGTTATGAGGGCCAGATCTGACATAAATGGGACCTTGTTGGGCCAGGCCACGTGTGTCATAAAATGGAAAGATACAAACTTTATAAAGGACACAAACACAAAGGGTTTTTTTTTACTTAAAATAAAAAAA